TCGGACCCTCCGGAGCACTCACCAGACCTTGACGACGACGAGCATCTTGAAGACGGCGACCGCATCTTCTACACCTCCTTTCGCCCAATCGAGGAGATTCGCGCTGGGAGCACCGTGTCCCAACGCCTTGCAGAGGCCTTCGCCCGTAACTCGGCCCCCCGCCTTCGGAGATTCCGGACTGGGCCAAGGAGTTCCAAGACGTCTTTGACAAGGAGTCCTTCGACACGTTACCAGAGCGGAGGGCTTGGGACCACGCTATCGAACTCGTTCCCGGCGAAGCCCGCTAATTGCAAGGTGTATCCGATCTCCCCCTTGAACAGCGCGAACTTGACGAGTTCATCGAGGAGGGACTTGCCACAGGCCGTATCCGCCCTTCGAAATCTCCGATGGCTTCCCCCGTCTTCTTCGTTAAGAAAAAGGACGGAGGACTTCAGTTTGTCCAGGACTGCCGCGCCCTCAACGCAATGACGATTAAGAACCGGTACCCCCTCCCGTTGATTAATGACCTTATCAACAGGCTTAAGGGCGCCCGTTACTTCACCAAACTCGGCGTTCGCTGGGGCTTTAATAACGTCCGGATTAAAGAAGGAGACGAGTGGAAGGCGGCCTTCGGACCAACCGAGGGTTGTTCGAACCTTTGGTGATGTATTTTGGCCTGACGAACTCCCCGCGACTTTCCAAACGATGATGAATGACATTTTCCAGGATCTCATTCTCTCAGGAGACGTCATGATCTACCTCGACGATATCCTTATCGCGCATTCGGACCTCCGTAAGCACCGCGAGATCGTCCGCGAAGTCCTTCGGCGACTCCGAATGCACAAGCTGTACCTTCGCAAGGAGAAGTGCGACTTCGAAATCGTCAATCGAGTACCTGGGGGTTATCATCTCTCACAACCACGTCGAAATGGATCCCGTTAAGGTTGCCGGAGTCTCCGCATGGCCTCCGCCCGAGAACAAGAAGGACGTCCAGCAGTTTCTGGGGTTTGCTAATTTCTACCGCAGGTTCATTCGGGATTTCTCGGCCCTAGCGCAACCCCTCTTCGCGCTCACCAAGAAAGACCAGAAATGGGCCTGGGGAGACGCCGAAGCCGCCGCCTTTCAAGCTATCAAAGACGCGGTCGTCTCAGAGCCCGTCTTAGCGATCCCGGACGACTCCCGGCCTTTCCGACTTGAAGCAGACAGCTCAGATTATGCGACGGGGGCGGTTCTTTCACAACAATCCGCCCCGGACGGGAAGTGGCACCCTGTAGCGTTCTATTCCAAAAGCTTAAATGATGTCCAGCGCAACTACGAGATTCACGACAAGGAGATGCTCGATCGATCATCCGCCACTCGAGGAGTATCGGCATTTCCTCGAGGGCGCCGCGCATCCGGTCGAGATCTGGACTGACCATAAGAATTTGGAGTATTTCCGAAAGGCACAGCACCTTAACCGTCGGCAAGCCCGATGGTCGTTGTACCTTTCCAGGTTTGACTTTACGCTGCACCACGTCCCAGGTCGCCAAATGGGCCGTCCCGATGCTCTCTCGCCCGGCCCGACCACGGTATCTCCGACGACAACTCGGATGTCACCCTCTTACGCCCCGAACTGTTCCACGTTCGCGCGCTTGAGGCTGTCACCGTCTCTGGGCCTGGCTCCGAACTTGTCCGCGACATCAAGGAAGCGCTATCCGGTGAGCCTGACCTAGAGGAGCCCGTCGCGCTTGCGGCCCGGCAACTCTTGAAGGTCCGAGGTCAAGTTCGGGGCCCCCGCTCATCACGTTCGGACGAGTGGGCCGTCTCCGGCGACCTCCTGTACTTCCGCGGCAAGGTTGTAGTCCCTAAAGACAAGGACCTAAGGAGGCGCATCATCGAGCTCTGCCACGATACGCGAGTCGCCGGACACGCCCGGGCGGTTCAAGACCTTAGAGTTGGTTTCGCCAACTACTGGTGGCCACAGATGTCTCGCCATATCGGACGCTACGTCGCGACCTGCGACTTATGCTGCCGCACGAAGGCCCTCCGAAGGCTTCCGCATGGAGAGCTCCATCCGACCGAAGTCCCGCCCGAACGTTGGCACACTGTCACTGTAGACTTCATTGTCGAGCTGCCCGAGGCCCATGGGTATGACGCGGTTATGGTAGTGGTCGACGCCCTCGGAAAGCGCGCCCACTTCACTGAGTGCCATACGACAATAGACGCGGTCGGAGCTGCCCGCTTGTACTATCGGAATGTCTGGAGGCACCACGGAACCCCGAGAAGTACATTTCGGACCGTGGCTCGCAGTTCATCGCTGACTTCACGCGAAACTCTGGCGCTTAATTGGCGTCAAACCGGCTACCTCCACGGCTTACCACCCGCAAAACCGACGGACAAACCGAGCGTTAACCAAGAGCTCGAGCAGTACATCCGGATCTTCACCAACTACCAACAAGACGACTGGGACGAGCTTATCCCTGCCGCTGAGTTCGCCTATAACAACCACGTTCACTCCTCCACTCAACAGGTACCCTTTATGACTGACACTGGTCGGCTCCCCCGAATGGGTTTCGAGCCAGGCGCCCGCTCAGAGTTGGAGTCGGTGAACGAGTTTCGCGATCGGATAGCAAACGGCGTCTCCGAGGCAAAGGCCGCGCTCGTTAAAGCCAAAGACGAGTATAAACGGTACTACGATCGGAAACGTTCGGACGCTCCGAATATTCAAGTTGGTGATAAGGTTTGGTTGGACGCCTCTGACATTAGAACGACTCGGCCCTCCGAGAAGTTCTCCCACAAGCGCCTTGGACCGTTCAAGGTGCTCGCAGAGGTTAGCAAAGGTGCCTACAAGCTAGACCTCCCCCCGCGTTACTCCAAGCTCCACCCCGTCTTCCCCGTTGTTAAGCTCGAGCCCGCTCAGGACGACCCCTTCGATGGACGACCCGGCTACGACGAACCGCCCCCCGAACTAGAGGACGGAGTTCCCGAATGGGAAGTCGAGGAAATCTTGGATGCCAGGATAAGGTATAAGCGTCTTAACTATTTCGTCAGGTGGAAAGGCTACGATGCTTCACACGACTCGTGGGTTCGGTTCGACCGTGTCTTTGCGCCAGACAAGATTGCGGACTTCTATCGGAGATACCCGGGTAAACCACGGCACATCGCCTCAGCAACCTTCGACTCGCTGCCCTTCCGTATTATGCGTCGGGACGCCGCATTCAAAGGGGGGGGTGATGTCAGGGGAACCCCCGCTTCGGCCTCCTTCGGACCCTCCGAACGCATCCGAGGCGCATCCGACCGGCGCCCCCTCGGACGCTCCGACCCACCCCGACCATCGTCCACAGCCTCCTTCGCCCGCACAATCACCGATCCGTCAAGACCCTCCCAACGATCACCTTGGGACAGAGCCTGCGACGCCGCTCAGGCCTTCTGCGCTCTACGTCGGCAGTTACGGACGACCAGTATATAGTTGGCGCCCTAGCAGGCGGACCCTTAGAGTTTCTTCTCTTTGGATCCTCCCCTGCTAGGTCGGTCCCTCCGTGTATTTCCCGTAGCTCTTATTCACGCTTTGGATCCTCCCCTGCTAGGCTTTCGTCGGAGTCTCCAGGGTTGCCCTTACACTTATATGAAAAAGAGATGCTATAAACAGACTCAGTTTTGTCAACTGGTTTGGGGGCAGATCAAACAGCCTTTTCTAGACCAACTTTTGTATCAAAACAAGGACCAAAAATATTCATGTATATTCACTTATATGATATATATCAGGGCCCTGGACCATATTTTTTGGTCCCCATTTCGATGCAAAGCTGGTCTAGAAAAGGGTGTTTGATCTGCCCTCAAAGTGGGTGACAAAACTGAGTCTGTTTATAGCATCTATTTCTTATATAAGCAGGCAAATTTGAAACAATCTTTTTTGGGTGCAAATAGAGGCATAAAAAATTTCTTTTTTTGGTGCATGGATTTTAAGTGTATAATTGATCGAAAGGGGCGTCATTTATTCCCGAACTCCTGCAGTGCGTACCATTCGATCTTAGCATCAGCACTCGTCTCCGACTTGCCCGAGCCCAAATCAGCGCGACTGACGGCGCACAGAAAGATGACCATGAGGAGTCCAGGGGGTAGCTTCCTCAACGGGGAGATGGCGTAAGTGAGCGCCCCGATGCGGCGCCATTGCTCATCAGCCTGTGAGTGGGATTGGAGCAGCCCAATGGTCTCGTACTCCTTCTGAAGAATGGATGGCGCTAATTTCTTGAAGCCAGGCATCTCTGCCTGCGCGAGAATGTCGTAGAAGCTCTTCATTGGATATAGGTGTTTATCTTCAGCCAGGTTGTAGTCGTAGTCTTGAAAGCGGGTCCAAGAGTCAGTGCTTGTGTGGGCCATGGTCAACAGCCTTATAAGGGACGCGTCACCCTCGACAATTGCCATATTCGGATGTAAGGCAGTGCGAGTTGAGCCTTAGTAGTGCATTGCGTAAAGTATCCACTACTGGTCCAGGTCAACTAGGCCCTATGTAATCTATGTGTTATGTGTCGAATGATTCAAGTGAACAACATACTATAGTAATTATGTACATATCAAATGCGATGCGTATGTGTAAATGAAAGCGTGCTTGGGTTACAAAAGGAAAAAAGGACGATGGCCGAAAAAGTAGATAATGGTGATTACGGGGGTGTGAACTTGAAGGCGGTGTGAGTACAAGGAGACAATGTGGACAAAAGTTGTGAGGCACAACAAGCGTCCTATGCATTCTATGTAATGTAATTTTCTAGGTTATGTGTCGAATGCAATGTGTATGTGTACATGAAAGCAGCTTTGGTTCCAAAAAGAAGGATGACGAGGACCGAAAGAGTGGATCAAGTGGATGACGGGTGTCATCGGTGATTGCATGGGTGTGGGTGCAGGTGAAGGCAGTGTGAGTACGAGGAGAAGACAGGGACAAAAGGCTGTTGATTATGTGGTCATGGTTGTGAGGCACAACAAGCGGCAGCGACGACCGTATCCATATCGCAACAGATAAACCTCTATCCGGACAAGAAAGCCCTTCATGGCCCAGTATAGCTCATGAGGTCTCGGTCATCTGCCCACAATCGAGCATACTCGATGGCCAGTCGATACACATATACTGTCTCGTCATCAACAACCGACAAGAAGACAAAAGAACCTGTAGACTCACCTTCCATGTCGATCTTCCTCCCCATTGTCGCTTTCCACTGCTTCCCAGCTCTCGCAATCCTTCGTGCCCGTCTGTCGCCCTCCCCAGTAGCGACACTCCTTCCGGGGTCGACCACGCTCATCTGCCTCTGGACCTCGTACTGCCGTCGTTGCTTGTCGCCAGGCTCGATCTCCTCGTCCTCCTCATCTTCCCAGTCACCGGAAGGTGGAGCTCCATAATATGGTGTTTTCGCCAACCCAGCGGCATCAAGGACAGAGGGAGCTGGTCCCGAAAAAGTACGACACAATGTTGTACACCTCCGAATAGGACATCGGGAGGGGGATATAATGAACCCTGCAGCCAGGTTAGCAAAAAAGACACAAGTAACAGGCAGTTAGAAACCAACCAAGGCTCTATCCATCCACTGAAGAACTCGTCATAGATAGTGTTTTTGAGCGGCACGCTGTCGCTGGCGAGAAATGCCATAAACCGCCCACTGTAGCCCATGCCATCTAAATCGAGCAGATATCTGGCAAGACAGAGGTTAATAAAGCCAAAAAGAAGGCCAAGAACGAACGCACTTATAGCCCCAACTGACTCCAAGCTCGACGCTATCCCCAACACGATGCTCCGGAGCAATACGGACGACTTCCTTGACGAATGCGACATCCATGACCTCTTTATTCAAGCGAGCGAGTGGAACGCGAGAGGTCCGGAAACCCTTATCGACAGATGAAGAAGTTGGAGCACCAGAAGTAGACGCCGACGCGGATAATGATGATGATTCAAGCTTTTCGTTCTCGACTGCCGATTTGTCACTGACTTCAAAAGTCACTGCCGTCGTCCTATCACCATCTGCACCAGTGGTGGGTACATGTCCAACGGAGGACATCCGCAGAAAACTTGCAAAATGTCAATATGCGAAAACGACAAATGGCAAGACATACCGATGACGCTGGTACCCATGACCAAAACCAGATGGACTGCTTCCTCCACCAGTGCTCGCCCCGCGCCACCAGACAGCATCTCGTTTTTTCTCCCAAGGTACCTCCATTGGATCCGTAACCCGCTGCTCTAAATTGATTGGGTCCCAAGCATATGTGTATCTGGCGAGCATGAAAACGAAAACAAAGGGCTTCCAGCAGGATAAACACACCTTCTAGTACCACCATAGTAGTAATGACTCGGTATCCTGATGTCGGTGAAGCCTTGAGCACGACCAGGCGAGAAGATGGGCACCAATAACGGATAAGTGCGCCAATCCGAGAAAAAGTGGCCTGCAGCACACAGTAAGCATTGAAACATCAGAATTGGGAAATGATCATACTCTGTTCATATCGTTGACCAGGGTTCTTGCAAAAGTCGACAGTCCGAGAACCCGTTTCCCGAGCGAACGAGAATTCGCTTCCAGTGCCGGTGCCGCTGGCTGTCCCCATCTCCCTTTTCGCTATAATGCAGCTTAGCAAACGCAGGATGGCAAAAAGAGACACAGAAGACGAACGCGAAGATCCTCCTCCTCCTCCACCAAAGCAAACGAGCTTGCCATGCGTAATAGCCCTCAGCAAGACGGTCACGGGCTCCAGCTGTACCCGCCGAACCAGATCCAAGCGAAGAATAGAGTCGGCGGGCTGGAGAAGTCGGTGGGCATGTTCGACGCCATGCTTCCCAGACAGAGCCTTTACCTGCCCAGTCGGCAGATGGCCAAGGGGGATTAACTAGGGTGGATTGAAATCAACGAAGAGGAGAAGGGATGTTGACAGCATACCATCAGTGAGGTTTGGATGAGCGATACATACAGTTCATGGCCTTCCAGTTATGCGTTGTTCTGGGAGTTATTAGACGATAAACAGTAAGATGGGGATGAGAATACACACGAGACATCGAGTCCCGGGAAGTTGTAGGGTATCCCCAGCGCATTGTAGATAAAAAAGTCTGCAGGTTGGGCAGAAGGTAAGAGCGCCACTAGACTTGTGTCACATATGTGACACATCGTCACATCAATTACTTATTTTGCGATCAAGGGGAAAAAAACGAGACCACGACTATTCAGATTCTTGGCTCTACTTAAGTATAGTACTCAGTGTCGCTCTACTTGTACCCGCTGGCACGTAAGCTTGAAGCGATTGGAATTCTAAAAGCACCGTCGGTTCATCTTCTCGTTGCGCTGGTCTTTATGCGCGAATACCGACCATCGATCCCGGAGTCTTCTACGGTTCTCCCACTGGCAACTGAAGTCCCCTGGGCCCAACCCGTCCCCAGCAGGTAAAACAACCACCCAGTGAACCAAACCATCAATTCACTTAGAACGCCGTGGGCCCAGCAATTGCAATGCTAGTTCCGACCATCAAACTTTACACCAGCGCCGGTGCTTAATCGCTAGTCCAAAATTCGGTACTCGGAATTAAACCCTGTCGTTTCTGCTTCACGAAGTTCTCGGCTGCATCCCAGTAGCACAGGCCGTCGCAACGATCAAAAAGACATTCGTTCCACTCGACAAAACTTGCGATGACGAAGCGTGGGTCTGTGAGGGGGATCGCTGCCGTGGGCGGCGAATAGGAGGCCACAAGGTAGACAAGAACCTCGAGCTTCAAGCAGTCCGTAAGGAGGTGGCGAGGCATGTCCCAGTGGAGGCTTGTAGTGTTGAACGAGAGATGGGTAAGTGCGGGAAGGCGCGTGATGAACTGGAGGACGGTCCGGTCGGGCGCAGCGACAGTGAAGGTCGTGTCGCACATGTCGAGATGGGTCAGCGCCGAGAAGGCGGTGATTGCGAGCGTTTCAGGTGGAATGTTTCCCGTAGCATCGAGGAGGCCGCATACAGAGCATGCAAGCCGACGGAGACGCATGGTCTGCAGGACGGATGGCAACTTTGATAGGACATCGTAGTCGTCGCATAACGCGAGGCCGTGGAGGCCTGTGCAGCAATGAAGCCCCTTTATTATTTCCGAGAGCCCCAATTTTTCAACGCTATCTTCCCCAAGGATGGATTACTGTCAGCTAGAGTAATGCGTCGAACGGCACGTGCCAGGAAGTCTGGTGCCCCCCTCAGGAAGCACACCGGATTTAGTAAAATATCCCTTGAAGTAGAAACTGTTCTAGATTCTGGTAGAATCTAGAACCAAATCAACCTGTGTAGATTTGCCCAGAATATACTTTTTGGAAACTGAGATTGATTTTGGTCAAATATATACTAGTTTTAGCAAGTCTGAAGTGAAAAGTATCTATGGCACTGAAACTGTGCCTGAAATGGTTCATATCTGCATGCATATATTTGGTCATGATATCACGCGCATCAAATGTGGCGAAACTGTCAGTGAAATAAAGGATTTCACTGACAGTTTCAGCATGGATGATACAAAGGAAATCAGCAGTGGAGAAATGCACATAGATTCTCTTTGTTTCTATTTGCATTTCTCCACTGCTGAAACTGTAGGTTTACAGTACAATGAAATCATTGTTGAAATCTCAAATTTATTCATGTCAGAAATTGTGATTAAAACTGTCAGTATATACATTGGAGAAATTGTAAGAGATATTGTATGTATATCAGTGACTTGAGGGTCAACCCTCAAGTTAACCCTCAAGTCAACCCCAAGGGTCTGACCTCCGGGTAGACCCTACAAGTTCAGTCTCCAGTTACATATTCAAACACATAATTAGTGTCAATAGGATAACAACTTTGTAATGACTTTACACAAACTTTCTAATAAATGTTACCAGATTGTAGGAACCCTTAATACATGTTACTATTCAGTTTAGACTTATGTTTCAAAGTCAATGGTTGAGTCAGAAAATGCAAATTACTGACCCAACCCTGAGTTTTCAAAACAGTGGTAGGGCCATATCTCAATGAGTTCTTATCCGTTCTCAACATGTTATATATGAGCAGGAAGGTATTCAATAGGCCTACAAACTGGTATTCAACATAAAGTTCATTGCATACAAAATCACAGACTTTATTAAAAAATATATTTTGACTATTAGATTGTTAACCCAATTACTTAATGGTTTCTAGACTGTTCATTAAAAGTTAGATATAGTCAGAAAGGTATTTCAAAGTTCTACAAACTTGATTTCAACCCTGATATGGTTGATTACAAAACCACAGACTTTCACTACAAGTCAAGGTTTATTGAATTAACTTCAAAATTCAAAGTCAACCAAATGACTCCATATTGTATATGGTAGTAGAGCTTCATTGATTGAGTAAGTATTCAGTTCAAACTTATTCAAAATTTATAATCATTGACTCACAGAAGGTGAAATACTCACAAAATATCAACTTTGTTACTTTAGGGCTAGCCTGGCTCAAATAGTATTAGCACTAAATCCCTCTTCCCGTTTACTGCTTACCACTTGTAGGGTCTTACCACTTGTAGGATGGAGCACAGGTATAGCTCTGACTCTGACTCTGACCCAGACCCTGACCCTGACCCAGACCCTGACTGTTACAGATAAAGGGCTGCTGGGTCTGAGTCTTGAAAGGCAGACCCTGACCTTAACAAACCCTGCCCCTTCTGGGTATAGGTCCAACCAGGTCTAGGTTGACCTACAGGTCACAGATATGGAAGCAGAAAACATGTTTAGAACAATAATTTATATGTTTTGCTATATTATCTTGTGCCAGATATAGTATATGTAGCATATCTCTCAAAATCTAGAGTATGATCAATACAGTTCACTAATTATGATATGTTAAGTCACATAAGTGACTTGATTTTTCAAAAAAACAATTATAAAAATGAGATTCAGATAGTCAATTGTTAAATTACAACTGCCTATTGCCCCTTTCTAGTTGATCTTGAAAGGGTCCATGTTTGGCCAGGTTCAGAAGTTGGTGAGGTAGAGCATGGGTCAGGGTCTCAGGGTCAGGATCAGGGTATACTAACCCTGACCCTGATTTGTATATCCTGCCCCTGACTCTGATCATGACAAGCCCTACCTGACTTGTACTCTACCCTCATCTTGTATACATAGATATGCATATGACGAATGAGGTAAGTATATACCTCTCTCAGTTCCTTTGTGCATTCTAACATGAAACCCTGCCACTTCAACCCCCCACTCATGCTGTCTAGGGAAGAGTAAAATGTGGACAATGAAGAGGACCAGGATGGAACACAAGAAGGCTCATAAATACTAATTGTATTATATAACAATGATGATTTGAACTTTTTGAATTGTATCAAATATGATATGAGTGTTAACCTGGTCAACCTTACCCAGTAGGGTCAGGGTTAAGTAGGGTTAGTGTCACAGATAAGACCTGGCCTGTTCTCTCAGGCACTAGTATCAGTCTACCAAGGGCCCATAACACACAGGATGTGATGACAGGAACAGACACCCCAGTAGAGGGAAATGCACATATAGGAAGCACATGACCAGGAAAGATGTGTTGGGCCTGACGCTAAGCCCAACTTGCAGCACGGAGGAACAGGAAGGAGTGCTAGGATGTTAGGAGCAGTGTCTGGCCTACAAGGGATGTGCAATCATCTTTGCAGCCAGAGACAGGGATATAGGAGGAGCAGGAGAGGCCAAGAGCAGGCCCTTTTGGTTTCGATCTACCCTGCTTGCGGGCCCGACGATTTGTCTGTTCTGTTCCGGGCACGCACTCATAGGAGAAGACCTTGCACGGCCTGACCTGAAGCCTGATACTGACCTTGACCCTGACTGTCAGGGTTCAGGTTGGGCTGTGCAAGACTCCTCTTGAGAAACAAGTGCCTGGAACAGAATAGATGAATTGTCAGGCCCACAAGTACGGTGGGCAGGTTCAAATCAAACCAAAAGGGCCAATTTAAGTAGGTGTCAGTGTCAGGGTCAGGTCATGTCGACAAGGCCCAATGAGTCGGTGTCAACTTGGTGATGCCTCCTTGCATAGGGTGAGGTAGTATAATAGGTGATCTAAGCAATGGAGTATGGTGTATACTATCACACCTTATATATGTGGCCCTGCTGAGGTAAGACTTCTGGCCCTGAAGGCATAGCACAAGATTCGGGGGTCTCGGGGGAGGAACCGGGCCCACATGTGTTGTGATGGTGTCAGTCAGGACCAGGTTCATCAGGTTGGCGTTGCTCAGTGCTCGAGCGCTCGCTGCCCAGCTTCAGCAACCCGTATCGACGTGGCTCGGACGGCATCATCCTCAGTTGGTGGCCACCAACCACGACGAGCCGCAGGCGCAGGCGCCACAGATAATGATGATAGCAAAATGTCGCCTGTGAATCAGAGTGCCTAGCCCTGTAGTGCTGTCACACTGCTATAACTTGTTGCGGCGCTGAATTATTATTGAATGATATGTAAACAAAGAAAGAACAAAGAAAACTTGGCTCCCATTGGGACCGCCGTTGGGTCTGCTATGTGGTCCGTCTTACAAACTGTCATTGAGACTGTCATCTGCCAGCCGCCGGTGTCATTGCACCCTGTGTCATCCTTGTTCTAATCTTCTGCTTACCTTGTTCTACTTTATTTCCTTTTTGCTTCTTCTTACACTTTGATGTATTATCTCATACTTTAGTCTAGAAATTAACATTGCTGGTCTCTATCTCCCAGTGTTGTCTCAACTCTGCTCTCATCTCTCCTGTGGTCGACTGGAAGCCTTAGCTGCCCAAAATTCCTTCCATAGTGTTTCACCCTGACAGCCCAGGCTCTTGTCTCTTATGTTCACTCCTTGTCCTAGTCACTTCCTACTTGCTCTCTGGCCTCAAACCTCAGGTTCCCCTGGTATGGGGCAATGGGAGGGTGCGGGCCCGATGAGTCGTTGGCACCTCCTTGCATAGAGAAAGATAGTTCTTCAGACAATCTAAGTGATAGAGTACATGGTACGCTATTGCACATTATATACACGGGCCCGCAAAGGGGTGATTAGACACCCTGGCCTCTCCTGCTCCTCCTCACCCCCCGTTCCTGGCTGCAGAGGGGACAATCGTACATCCCTTGCGGGCCAGGCGCTACTTCTACATAACCTCCTAGCACTCCCCCCCAGTCCCCTGGTATTGGGTTGGGCTCGGCAACGGCTCGACATGTTGTTCTTGGTCACGTGCTTCCCACATGTGCGTTCCTCCAACCAAAATCGCACTTCCGCCGCCATGTCACATCCCAAAATGGAGATGTGGGAAACGGCAGAGAAGGCGCCGTCGGCCGGCAGTCTTGACCTTCCGCTCACCCTAACCGCCAGGGGCTCGACGACGATGACGGTCGCACCCCGTCTCCTTGCACCCTGCTACCATGTTCTCCTTCCGCCTCGACCTTCCCAAGGCTGCGACCGCTGCCACACCTCAGCCCCGCCCAGCCGAAATCTCATTCCGCGTCTTCGAAAGCCCTCATACTCCTCCACCACTGCAGGGAACACTGGCCTACCACCTCGCCAACAAGAATTTCGACCTTCGATGGAGCAGTATTCAAGAATTTGAGTCGTGGTTGGTTCGAGAGGAGGAGGAGAAGGGGTGTGAGCTGCGGAAGGTGAAAGAGTACAAGCCAAGAAGAAACGAGAACCGCGAGAATGGGACTCGACATCGCTATGTTTGCTCGCGCTGGCACTGGCGGCCTCAAGAAGTATGTCAAGCTGCTTCCGCTACGCCGACGCAAGATACAAAACAAGCGAACCAACTGTCCTTGTCGACTGCTCGTCAAGACGTACCCTGGCAGCCCCATCGTCCTTGCCACATACCACTCTCAACACAACCACGTTCTAGGCGACGATAACCTCAAGTTCACTCGTATTTCACGGACTACGCGGGAACATATCGCTGGACTTCTTCGGGGAGCAGCAGCGACGTCAATAGTGCGTTAACCTTCTGTTCATCAAGTTTATCTCACTTTACGCAGCTTTCCAACCTTCATGGTCTTCCTGAACCTAGCATCAAGAACCTCAAAGCTGCCATCGCACCCAGCAACACTGCTCCAGTCCGCAACACCCTTGTCGAAGCCCGACATCCGCCGGATTGAGAAATCACTTGAAGCTGAGAAGATTCGTATGCACCGCGATGATGGACGGTCAACACGTATCTGGGTGGATAACCTGCGTGAAGTCGACTGCATTCTTGGCTTCAAAGCGAAATGCGACCCACCGCCGCCAAACTCGGGTCTGGCAAGTGACCTCTTCTTCCTGGCAATTCAGACGCCTTGGCAAAGAGAAATGTACTCAAGCATGGCGAAGGCATCCTTTGCATCGATGCAACGCACAATATCACGATTTACGAGAACCTCCTACTTACGACACTGGTCGTCCGCGATAAGTGGGCCCATGGTCAGTACACCGCTTCTATCTTCGTAATGGTGTCGGATGCTGAGTTGCTCAAGGAATACCAGTTGCTTGGATGCTACACTCGGACGGCACTCAGGTTACGATCGAGTACTTCCTCAAGCTGCATCTTCAACGCAACGCAACCATACCGCGATACCTCATGACAGACTTTGACTGGGCAGAAGTCAACGCATCAAATCGAAGTTTTCAAGACTGCATTTGTCTTACTCTGCTGGTGGCATGTTCTGCGTGCATGGAAGAAGCACCTCAACGCCGACTTACATCCAGACTTGTGGAACCTGCTGCAGCGATGGATCCGCGTCACCGACCAGAGCCAGTTTGATGCAATGTGGACTCAAATCAAGCTCATTGGCCCTCGTGGATTCGTCGAGTACATGGCCGAGTATTACATGAAGCCCGACGTCGTCAAAATGTGGTCAGCGGTATATCGCACGCAGCGGTCAGTTTTCGAGCGATGTGATACCAACATGCTCATCGAGGCGTGCGTGTCCATTCCTCGAAACTGATATCAATTGACTGGTTTCGCAGGTCATCTTGATGATATTCTTCGTGCTACCGATGATAGTGATGTGCTGCCGACTTCTCAAAGTGTTCACCCACGGACGAAGCAATGGAACAAGACAAAACTGCTTATGCAACCAGGGCATGCCCAACCAAAACCACCCAGACAACCGCCGTCTCTCGTTCTCCCGACAGTTAAGAATAAGTCGAAAGCGAAAAGGAAGGCCGACACCGCCAACCCTTCGACAACGACACCACGGAAGCAAGCCCGACTTGATGTAAACTCGGTATCGACTGCTTCACTACCCCCTCCAGACCTACCTACCTACGCCAATTACCCTCCATACTTTGCTATACCTCCTAAATATCCACCGCATGTATTGCACGCTAGGAAATGACACTTCTATGGATACTGGTTTGTACTTCGTCGTTCAGTGACTTCAGTATTGAGAGGGGTGCCGATTATTGCCGCACTGCTGACGCGCTCGATCCGAGCTTCAATAGTTCCCACACTCCTTTTTGAGATGTGACCTGGCGGCGGAATTTTCACAAGTTCCTCCAACTGGGGCACCTGTTCCCCGTTGTCACGTGCTGTATGTTGCAGGCTCATGATGGCCCGACACCAGTGCCGGAGCGGACAGGCCAGGTCTTATCTGTGACAGTCAGGGTCAGGGTCTGGGTCTGGGTCAGAGTCAGAGTCAGAGTCAGAGTCAGAGTCAGGGTCTGAGTCAAGTTAAGCAGACTCAGAGCTATACCTGTGCTCCATCCTACAAGTGGTAAGACCCTACAAGTGGTAAGCAGTAAACGGGAAGAGGGATTTAGTGCTAATACTATTTGAGCCAGGCTAGCCCTAAAGTAACAAAGTTGATATTTTGTGAGTATTTCACCTTCTGTGAGTCAATGATTATAAATTTTGAATAAGTTTGAACTGAATACTTACTCAATCAATGAAGCTCTACTACCATATACAATATGGAGTCATTTGGTTGACTTTGAATTTTGAAGTTAATTCAATAAACCTTGACTTGTAGTGAAAGTCTGTGGTTTTGTAATCAACCATATCAGGGTTGAAATCAAGTTTGTAGAACTTTGAAATACCTTTCTGACTATATCTAACTTTTAATGAACAGTCTAGAAACCATTAAGTAATTGGGTTAACAATCTAATAGTCAAAATATATTTTTTAATAAAGTCTGTGATTTTGTATGCAATGAACTTTATGTTGAATACCAGTTTGTAGGCCTATTGAATACCTTCCTGCTCATATATAACATGTTGAGAACGGATAAGAACTCATTGAGATATGGCCCTACCACTGTTTTGAAAACTCAGGGTTGGGTCAGTAATTTGCATTTTCTGACTCAACCATTGACTTTGAAACATAAGTCTAAACTGAATAGTAACATGTATTAAGGGTTCCTACAATCTGGTAACATTTATTAGAAAGTTTGTGTAAAGTCATTACAAAGTTGTTATCCTATTGACACTAATTATGTGTTTGAATATGTAGCTGGAGACTGAACTTGTAGGGTCTACCCGGAGGTCAGACCCTTGGGGTTGACTTGAGGGTTAACTTGAGGGTTGACCCTCAAGTCACTGATATACATACAATATCTCTTACAATTTCTCCAATGTATATACTGACAGTTTTAATCACAATTTCTGACATGAATAAATTTGAGATTTCAACAATGATTTCATTGTACTGTAAACCTACAGTTTCAGCAGTGGAGAAATGCAAATAGAAACAAAGAGAATCTATGTGCATTTCTCCACTGCTGATTTCCTTTGTATCATCCATGCTGAAACTGTCAGTGAAATCCTTTATTTCACTGACAGTTTCGCCACATTTGATGCGCGTGATATCATGACCAAATATATGCATGCAGATATGAACCATTTCAGGCACAGTTTCAGTGCCATAGATACTTTTCACTTCAGACTTGCTAAAACTAGTATATATTTGACCAAAATCAATCTCAGTTTCCAAAAAGTATATTCTGGGCAAATCTACACAGGTTGATTTGGTTCTAGATTCTACCAGAATCTAGAACAGTTTCTACTTCAAGGGATATTTTACCAAATCCGGTGTGAAGGTTTCTTGCACGTGTATCCAGTTATCTTCTCCGATGACAATTTCGCGATACAGAAACGGCTTCAACCTGGCCTATTAGTGAGTGGCAAGGAAAACTCGCAATTGCACACCATTGATAAACACGCCGCGAGACAAGTAGAAGTCGCGCAACGTGTTTCCAGTCGATCTCAGCAGCGGTCTCGAATATCTCCCGCTCGAGATCGAGAGGAAACACTGGCGACATGACGGAAAGAATCAAAGGGCGGAATTAGATCCCGCCATCAGCGCATCACGTGAAATCTGCCGCATGTTGATGCGGTAGCTGTCGACGCCCCAATCTTCCCCCGCTGTCAGGACTGCCCCACTCTTTTTCCCTCCCTCCGTCATCGTCCTTCTGGACCCCGCATTGTCCCGGGCCTGGTGCTCGTCCGTCTCCGTCCGCTCCAACACGAACTTCCCTACAAAGCGCAGCCTCCACAGAATCAGCGACCCTTTTCCAGCTTAGCACAATAACGTCAATCTCGGTATAAAGGCCGCGACGTGCGTCCACATACTCGCTATTGTTCTCCCCCCTTCTTAACTCGCTCCCCCTGCCTCTAGCTAAACCCGCAGACATGACCGAATACGACTACTCCCCCGAAGGCTACCGCCAGTTCCAGCGCACGCAGGAGAGGATATCGAATTGGGCAGACGACACAGCGCAGCAGGCGCACAAATACAAGAATCCTTTCTTGCCACGCTCTGACGCTGACTTCCGCGGCAACGAGTTCTACGGGAAAGGCTCCGGTTCTGGCTCGAAATCGGGGTCGGCATCGAGCAGTCGCAGACACACGCCTTCCGGGCACCACCACCATTCCTCCCGCTCAAAGCCAACCCGGTCATACTCTCAGGGAGTGGTAGCACAGCCAACCGCGCGGGCACCAGCCCGCTCGAATACCATCGCTGTCAGTCCTCACGACTCCATCTCCCAAATCGGGACTCGCCAGCGCGCCCGCTCCCATTCGCCATCTCGCCATCGTAGCAGCAGCGGAAAGCACCACCGTTCTGGCACAACAACCTATGTTATCAACCCCCAGCCTCAATATGGGTACACTGGTGCTCCCTATGTCCAGTCTCCGGGTGGTTATTACGCAGCGCCTCAGCCTCAGCCCCAAGCACAACCCCAACCGGCTGCCTATGTCGTTTATCCGCGCGGCAAGGTGCAGATTGTGGTACGCCATCTTCTCATAGCCCCGTTATTTCCTTCCGTTGATGACCTCTCCCAGTATCCAGAGCCACAACAGTATACGTCCTACCCCCCAGCGGCACACCCTTCGCAGGAGCATCACAGTGGCTTTTTCTCCAAGATCTTCAACCGCAGTGGCAGCGGGAGTCGTCGCAGCCGCAGCCTGAGCCGGTCGCGCAGATAGCTTGGGGGGGTGGATTGTTGTCGTCGAATGCTGTTCCTGTCATTCCGACGAATGTCCTTGATAGCGGATTAGATGCAGATGGGCAGAAAACATTTAGAGCATCTGGCATGGTGATTGGACTGTTCCCTTTGGTGTTTCGGTTTTTGTTATTTTTGGACTTTTGGCATTGGATTCGGATAGCATATATTCACATACCCGCACAAGTTTTAACCTACATCCACCATACCTACATACTCGTAGAGCACCCACAAATTGGAATTCAATATAGATTTTTTCCTGGTCGCTTTCTTTTGTGTGGTCCTGTTTGACGAGTTGTGAATCATTCCTCAGTGTCAGATCGTCGACTGAGGAGATGGATAGCGATGATAAATGGCATATGATAAGAACGACGTCGCGATTCCCGGCGAGTAGTGGCGGTATGCATCATGTACTGACTCGTAGACCCAATATCAATCGCGCAAATCAGCTTGGTGAAAAGTTTCAAGCGCCGCCAAATCGCATTGCCGATAGCCGGCGGCTTTGGAACCAAATACTGCCAAAGCTTGATGGTGTAACGTGTGTGACGTGCGCGTGTGTGACGTGCGCGTTACACCACTTCTTGTCAACAACCACGTTACAACCTGGTCGGATGCAAGTAGGATGCTGGCGGCGACGGATATGGTTGAGCTGAAGCTACTGACCTGCGAATGACCTTGCATGATCCTGCCTTCGCATCTCACTCTTACTAGTCCCATGCGACAACTTGAAATCCCGGCGATTCTCTCGAATTAATCTATCCCTTGCCGGGGCTTTGCTTGGATATACCATGATATTCAAAGCCCTCGGTGGACGGTGCTTATCTCGCACACTCAGCGCACACCTCAGGCTCAGCAAAAACAACCAGGATGGGATAAGTTAGTTAGGACTTCGATCTCACTCAAGGTCGTCTTAATTAGCTAATGATTACAAAAGGCAGGAGTCAAACGTCATATTTCGCTCATCAATCGAGTATCAGGACTGCGACAAAATGAGTACTTGACTATAAGCGGCACTGTGTCTCCAGATATTAATTCCCTTCAGTATGATGATGACGGTTCTCCTCCGGTGCTAGTACGAGTGGCAATACCAATGAAATACTCTGGATTCAAACAATTTATCCGGCCTTCAAAGTATGCGGCAAACAGAGTGGTCATCGTAGGGGCCAGTTGTCCATCGCATGTGTTTTGGGGGCCGGCGCCATTCGGTGTGTGTCCCCCCTCTAGAGCGGTTCTGGATTCGGAGTAAGGTACATTCATCTTCCTTACACAGACCAATCTTGATCTTTCCGCGCAGAAATCCACTTGTGTGGCGCGTTGCGCGCGTCCGAAACCACCACAGAGGCGCCAGCTAGTACCATGCGACAACTCCGGCGAACCCACTAGCAGCGTCTGCTGGCTTTTGCACCCCAGATTTTCTTCGCGGTCCATTTTTGGTCCTTTCTAGTTCACAGCGCCGACAGTGTGCGTGCCCTGGGCCTCAGGCTCCCCGTCGTTCTCCACTGTCTTGGGAATTCACTAGCAGCGTCACAGGGACTGGGCATGCTATCGCCTGCATACACGAAGACGCTTCGACTTCTCGGAATCAGAAACCGAGTCTTCAATCCTGACTTGACGTACAGTACTACTAAGTAAAGCATATATTCCGACAACTGGCAAATGTGTCGGCCATCTCCAATGCGCCTCGAGGCTCAGGCTGCCGTCCTCGCTACACGCCCGTCGGGCGTGGTCCCCCCAGTCAAGGCTCACCCGTCACATCCGTCATCAAGTTTCGCATCGCATCGGGAATAATCGGTGCTAGGGAGGCCGTAATCCTTCTCGGCGTCCCACGGTGAGGCTCCTGCATTGCGCGTGGGTCTATCCTTTATTTGGCGATGATTGAGCTTGTTCTGACAGTCGCCTCAGAGGATATCACCCATGCTGTTATCCACTCAGTATTCAAGAATCATGATCTGTACCGTCCACCCGATGGGGGCGTTGGGGAGGCGTCGACGGCGCCGCTTGTGTGAAGACAGTCACCGTGCAGGCGGTCATGGAGACGTCTCTGCAGCCCAAAATAGCGCGATAACCGTCGAGCGTGGGTGGCGGTGGAAAATCCGTCTTCGAAAATTCCGACGAAGCGCGTAAGCTTTTTAGGGTCGTGCAAGTGTGCGTGTTCTTTGAATGTCCGTGAACCATAATAGAATTTTCCGTCGCCCAAAGGATGGCCCCACTGATGGGGGGGAATACGGCGATCGCCAAACGCAAACGCACGATCAAAACTTTCACGTCTATGTGCTCAGGGTGCAGGTCACGGGGCACGTATGGTCGACGTTCCAGGATCGGCGCGGCCCTCGAATAGGAAGGAAGAGCTTGTGTGGGATCTGGTCTTGATTCCTGCCAATTGGACGAAGCTCAGTTGTACCTTAGTGTGGATCACGACTGGGGACTCGGAAATATCCGAGGCGAATTACTGGCAATTGCACCGTGCGGCGCAGCGGACCGGTCTACTGTAATCGTTGGCCAATTAACTGACTTTTCCGCATCAGTTATCACCTGCGGCGCCGTGCTCCAGCCCACGCACAGGCATACTAGTAGCGAGACTCGGACTCGGAAGCGCACATCTCCAGCTCCTGGTTCAGACTCCGCGAGGGGCGCTAGAACTAGCCAAGGCGGAACAGAAGCGAGGCTAACCAGTTCCCGGCGTTCTAACTCAGACGCCCACAGCCAGCACACTCAGGCGGTTGCGGTTAGGCCCTCCGACCTTCATTCAGTCACTCAGTTACCTAGTAATGGTGTTGTTCCACGATCAAGGCGCCCGAACGGTCGGTGAAATCCGGCGCCGTGCGATGTAATAGTGGCCCGAGTCCGGCTGGAGTTTCCTTCGAGGCTCTTCTCTGCTTCTGCTTCTGCGCCCGAGCCCAATATCAACTTGAATGAATGAATCTCAGGCTGCGCCGTGACACTATAACAACTCGAGAACAAAGTCCATCCATTTAGCATATATGATGTCCAGAGTCGGCAGCCCGCAAGACCATTCGCAAGCCCAAAGAATCATTCTTCATGATCAGCACGTTCGTTGTTGATTACATAGTACCAGCGAGAAAACCAGTCTCGGGATGTTATCACCGAAGAAGCACGACCGAGGGGGCGGTTCTTCATTGAAATGCGACTCGGTCCTCGAGACTTGGTGATGGAAAGAAGATGCCAATGTCGGGTCAGGCGATGGGGCCAGGGAGATGGGGATAAGTAGATAATTAGATCCCGCGTAAGATAAGGTGATAACAGACCATACTAACGCCAACACACTGCATAAGCATAGAAGCGCGGTTGCACTATCATGTCAGGATCAACGAACATACGATAGGTACGGAGGCTCGAGCCGGAAGGAGAGGGGCGTCGCACGATCGTGCCAGTCCACCCGGTACCGGTACGAAGATAAGCTATAGGATGACCCGGTTCCAGACGTGAAGCTGAGTTGCAGGGCAGCAAGACATCTTCATCGGCCTCGAGCTGCGCGCTCCTGGGCTGCCTTGCATGCCCAACAGTAATCATCAACAGCATCTACATCGCGTTGAATCTCGGTTCCAAAATTCTGACGACAGATAATGAGTCGTGAAAGGGGGAACCAAAGCCGTGGCCGTACTCTAGCGCATGTTGTAGCCCGACAGCCTCGAGGGTGGTAGACCGAACGCTCGCAGCGTGTGGTGTTGCAGTCAACGATAGCGACAACGAGATGTCGTTGAAAATGCTTGGGGTATTGTTAGCCTTGGCGCAACCGACCCAAGCTCGCACAAACGTACCCCACATCGCGTCCAGCGAGTGCCTTCACTATGGGGCAGAAGCGTCAAAGAGGAAATGGCGGTTGAGCAGATGATACATACGCTAATTGTTGACACATGATTGGATGCACTGAGTAGAACTCGTCGAAAGGGAGGGTTGTGGGGGAAAGAGGTGGAATCAAATGGGCCAGGATCTTGGGTATTTATTTGCCAGGATGTAGGTCCAGCAGAGACGTCAAAGAAACGAGATGCGATCGCGACGATGCCGGAATCACGGAAGCCGTCTGACCGCGCCGGTGTTTCGCAGAAGAAGCCATTGCCAAGGGCATAAACAACGGTGTCGTCATCTGTCACCACATGTTGCACGTTCCGTTTGTGGTTCCTGGCTGGGCCATATGACTCAACCGCACGAGCCGCACAAAGAAGTTCACCCACATTTGTTTCAAGCGCGCTGCGCAATCATCCAAGGACGACGTTCTCTGAATGTGCCGATGATGAGAAGAACAAATCATATCGTATTGTCACCTGGAGACTGTGCTGCTTATCCGTTATCGGCGAGGTCGACTTAAGTTCCGGGATCTTGACATGAGAAATACCAGAAAATCTCCGAGGGCACCTCGATCTCACGGCCATCAATTCTGCATAACTTGAAAGACACAATGCATTCGATGACCCTCGGACCTGGCCGACCTCGCGTTCAATTCACACAACTAGCACAGAAAGAAAACTATATAGCATTCAGCGGCGTTAAATTGAGGAATGAATATCTGACCGCGGTCAGCTGGACTGTCCACGAGGGCGAATTTGTTCGTCCGATATTTTGGGCGGCACTGACAAGCACGGATTCCGGAAGCGGGCCGTACCAGCCGGCATTCAGCGGCAAGAGGACACGTTGCAACGGCGAGGGCGTAGATGTTAGTTTGGTAAAGGCACAAAGCAGGAACGCAGCTTTCGCACCCCCTCTTCCTTTCACTCATACATGCGGCTTGTTTCACACCCAGTCATGCCTGCCGACCCACAGGACGCTTGTGTCAAAACAGTCAAGAAAGACGCTATCAATGGGAGTGCTGGGGGAATGGGAATGTGAGATGTCTGACAGTTGCCATGAAGAGAGTCCGCCGTACCAGATGCTGCAGCGTGTTTGTCTAGATTCCCAGAGCTCCACAGTTCACGCGGTCAGTGCATTGTCTTCAAAACTCGTGATTGCTGGATGCAGGATAGCAATTCGGAGGTACGGGCCTCGGCAAATAGTATGACAGCACATAACAGACCTGATCAGCCGTTCTTTATTTCCGGACCGGCGACCAAGCAGACGACAAAGGAAAGAGCTCGAGCTAGGACCTGCATGAAGCGTGACAATTTCGATGTGAACAAGCGCGGAGATAGATGAATGGAGCGCGGGAGCCGGGGGTCGGAAGCCTGAATGCCCGCAGCAGGCTGAAAACCACTCGGTTCTTTCATTTCACGCCTGACTTCTCCTGGGTATACAAGAGGAAACTACCAGGAGAAGGATGTGCTGCCGGACGGCATTCTGAACGCGAAGTCAAGCATAGACTTGCAGCTTCTGCAACGTCAGTCGTCGGATGAGCGAAAACACACACACAAGACTCTGCGTTCGCTCCATTAAACCCATTGTCCTTTCCTCTACCGCCCTTCCATCAAGATTCCGGCAGCCATGTCGAGCATTTTGCGCAAGGTGAAGCGCGTGGTTGCCCTGGGTTGTTTTCCCAAGCGCCCGACCTCTGTAGGCCAACGATCCGCCGTAGCGACAACAGAGAGGAATTTTGGGTTGGCGACGGGTCAGCGGGAAGTAGGATATCATTGTGTGAGCGCATGTTTGTTATTTCCCTGTAGAAACGCCGCACCATCTGCTGAGAATTATGGGTAGGATCGAATGTTTGTGGAAGGGAAGAAGAACAAGAAGGAGTGGATGACGTTGATGTCACGGTGGTGACGGTGTCACGAATAGCTGGGACTCCATATCTTAAAGGGTTTTCTGGGACGTGTGGCAGTTCTAAGGATTAGCGGCCGGCCGGCGCCTAATTAGGAAGTTGTTGATGGTCATGTGACAAGCACAATGGCGGACTGAGCTGAACTCTGCCACAGAGTCTTCAATATTAATCATTGGGATAGGATAGGAAGCTCTCAACAAAAATAAAGAGTGGATAGAGTTAGAGCAATATTCCAGGAGTTACACCAAGTCCTAAGTACTACTACATAGTAAACAATGAGTGAACTTTCTATATTTTCAAGTGTCTAACCACTGGCCAGCGTTGGCCGTGCAACCAGATTAGACAATGACATAGGTGGCATGGTTGCCATTGCTGATAGGCACAGGGACCAGGGTGGGGAGGGGCAACAGATCTGCTGGTGTGCTCAAGCAGCCAAGGTGGTGGTAGGCCCGAAGCAGTCGGCTAATAACTACTGGAGTCACACTGATGCATATCCGGCCGCTATTGTTCTCCTAAATGGGCGCTGTCGGCCCGTTAATGCTTAGAACAGCCATTGAACCGTCTCTGACTGGCGATAAGTACCATCGAATAAATGTGACGTGGGATTTTGACTTGGCAACTTCCTATTTGATGCGCCTACTGATGCGACATTTTGGTGTGCTTGATGCGCCAGTTCTTGGCCACAAGTCACCCTATCAAAGCAGATCAAATCTTGTTGTGGAAGCTTGCCAGGCCCAACCAGCTGCAGAAGGTCATAATCTTAATGACAAACGGCGGCGCGCCTGTCCGTTCAGCCTGACGGAAAGGTGACGGCATCTGCGACGGTTAAATGTCCTCCGCCAGATGTCTGCACTCAATCGCCACTTCTCACCTACCGCCATGTCCTGCCACTGCATTAACCCGCGACTTCCCCCAGATTTAGAACGCTATATCTTCGAAGAGACGGCGGGGCAGCGTCCTAGAGATGTTCCGAATCTACTACTCGTTGCTCGGAGGGTTCAATATTGGTATTTCTTTAAAGTTGCCCAACCAATCCGCACGGCTTATCAAGTGTGTGCAGGTTAGAGCCTATCTTGTACCGCGATTTCCGCCTGGGGGACTCCCAGAAACTCGACTCCCTGCTCTGTCTCGCGTCCTCGAAATCCCACACTTTTCTTCCTCGCTCTATTCGCAGTCTGGTGTTTTGGGGAGAGTACCCTCTGCGTCATGAGCATTACGACACGCTTAAACGATGCACGGGGATCACCCATCTCGTCATCAGCTCCACGCAGTCAGTCCCGGATGTGCTTCCGTCTCTTGCCAACATGCGACTCCGACGCTTGGCAGTGTATCCTCAAGGGCTAATGCCCACCCTTGGCGCGATCGACGGCGCAAATCCCGTCTTCAAACAACTGACCCATTTCGAGATTTTCAACGGTCCACGGTCCGGCACCGACGACTATGCGTTGATCGCATTCATCACCGCACTTCCGTCGTTGACGCACCTCGCGCTGAACGGTCCTCCCAAGGCTGGGGCCCCAGCCATCCGCCGACTCTTGGCCGAGTGCAAGAACCTGCGTTGTCTTGTGATTCTCAGCAACGAGAAATGGATGCAGTCGAAGTTGACGACGGGCGACTATCATGATATCAATGATCTACGATTCGTTGTTACTGGTTTCCGACGATGGGACGAAGTGATCTGCAATGGTTATTGGGCCATTGCAGAAGACACTGTGGAGCAGAGGCGACGGGGAGTAATGGTGAATCTCACTGGCAGCGACGCCTATCCACTGGACGATCGAGTTGCTTCGCCTGTTGTTGGTTGACTACTAGTAGATTTTTCTTGTTGGTATTATCGGTACTCGTATAATCCAAGGTATAATATATATTATGAGCATTTTGGAGTTGGAATGTAAGTCGTACAGGAGCTGTAGCAGAGAGGTGAGGATGTGTGATCGTGATGTGACGATGAGCGTGACCGATCGTGATACCTTGGCCCCGCTTGGAGTCTTTTCGTCGCCATGCACAAGGATGCGTGCATGGAGGATTAGCGCCTAACAGTCGTAGAAGCATGTAAGAAGTTCTGCTGCCCTGTCAAATATTAAAAAGGTGAAAATAAGCAGAGCAATGCAAGCGCGTCTGAGGAGGAGGGCAACGGGAGTCCAGGACTCTGGGCGGGCTGATGTGCGAACGAGAGCGACGGACGCAATAAGCACGACGGAGAAACGTTGCGTAAACGAGATGGCAGGGATAGAGGGAGGGTCAGGTGCAGCAAAATGGACGCATTGGGAATTGAACCCAACACCTCTCGCAAATGGAATGCCTGGTCATTTGATAAACCAAGCTTCTGCTAAGCGAGCGTGATAACCAACTACACCATGCGCCGTTGGAGACGCTCAATATTTGTGCAATCTCGGTTGGGGTTACCGGAGAGGACCATTCAGAACTTGATCAAGTCAGTATGTCAAGGGAAACACTCATAGATATGCTGTTATACAGTACTAATCTGTGCAGGCAACCATGTTTTGGAAGTTAGTCATTGAACTCTTATCATGTACAACCTTCCTGTGACATGTGCCTGAAGGGAGCAGCAGACAGACAGAGAAGGTATTGAACACCCTTGGAGTATAAATTGGTGGTGACTTGTGGCTAGCAGGCAAGTAAGTGGACCAGACACGCATGCCGACATTTTGGATGACCATTGGTCCTATTGAAACTGGAAGTAGTGTCACAGTTCGGGTCGGGCCGTCGGGCCCTATACGGCCCATCAGCCCCTCGCCACTCTTAGAGCCCTAGGGCTTGACAAGCCCTCATATATTCACAAGCTCAAGGCACTGAGCTACAACACTAATATCTCAGACAAGGGACATAATCACAGATCGCGCTTTAGTCAGCCATCATGACCCGCCATCAGGGATCATGATGGACGCCCTTGACAGCAGGCCCAATCGGCCCCAGACAACCACAGGGATCAGGAGGGAGCTCCTTACTGTTGCATTGCCTCAACTCACAGCAGGCAGACTGGGTATCTAAGTGGAAGGCAATGATTGAGGGCTTCAGTCCCTACCAGGTAACTATCAAAGGTCTGGCACTCCCTATTCAACTGCTCTCCATTGAGGTGTGATAGTGTGGAAGTACAATGTGTTTTGCACATCACCTTTACAGTCTGGCAGGTTTGACCCAAGAAAGCTGAATTGACAGCATGACCCACAATCAGTGGGTAACACTGTCAATCAACACTGAAACGCTCGTAATACGTCCGAAGGGTGGGGTGGGAGATGATGAGAACAGGTGATGGGTGATGGGGAAGGAGGAAGGGCTAGACTCAGCTACAACCCTCAACACAACACAAAACACCCAAACCAATAGCTTGTTCCAACAAATACAATATCCTTCAGTCCGTATGATGACGCGCGCAAGTTCGGGGGCTCCTATCAAGGTATATGATAGTTGCAACCTGGTAATAGTCGGTACAAGAATTGTAGAGTAGTGTTGATATAGTAGTAGTCCAATCCGGCGGCAAAGGTCGTGAGAGTGTAGTCGGTAGTGCTGAATTAAAGTCGGACCGACGGCGTTATCGGGTCCGGTGTCAATCGAAAGTCTTGGCGCTTCTTAATACAGTTACCCCGGATCGGCGAGGTCGTTATCGTTATCGTTATCGTTGTCGTGGGTGCCCTTATCCTTTGATAATCAGGCCGTTGTCGTGGTTGCCCCTACCCTTTGGTAAGCAGGCCGTTTCGTAGTCGTTTCGGAGGCCTTATCCTTTGATAATCAGCCAGTGGGTGCAATCACAACGGATTCACTGTCTATCTACTGACATATGCGCTAAACTTATAGATCACCGACGGGCTTGGCATCAATCCGCAGCCGGCAACCGTTGCCGGTCCACCGCCTCCGTCTCCGCCACTGCCCCGCCCGTTGCCTGCATCGCCCCGCCCGTTGCCTGCATCGCCCAGCTCGTCGCCAACACCGCCTCGCCCGTTGCTGCTGCGCACACTGCGCGTATCGCCCGTCGCCTTGCCCTCTCGCTGCGGCACTACTGCGGATACTGCGGCACCCGCTCACTGCCTCCACCTCACTCCTCTGACTTGACGTCTTTTTGACGCCGCGTCGCGCGTCGCGTCCCCGTCCACGGAAGTCACTCCCCATGACTTTCCTGGTACCGCCCCCGTGCCAGGTGCGTCATGTCCCCCAATGAAAAATCCTGAGTGTCCTCACTCAGCGTGGCTATGCCGGACCGGTACTATAAATGGTGCCGTCCGGCTTGGCGACGATCTCATTCAATCCACCACATGTCCTACCCCGCCTACTTCGATTCTTCCGACTTCAGGTTGATCCGCGTTTCCCTCTCATCGGAACGATTACTCCCCGCTTCCCCGACTTCTGTATCCCATCCCCTCCCGCACTACTGGAGGTCTCCACTGGTCCTCACGGCGAGACCGAATTCCCTCGTGTCCACGAGCACCCTGCCCCCGTTACTTCCAACGAAGTCCTACGCGCTATCCGCTGGCGTCCCGCTGTGAGCCATTTTTGCTGTATATTCCTCCTCCTAACCATTTTTGGTAGTATCTTGGCAAATGCGCTTATTGCATCGTACACGAGCTCCCTTGCCGTTTCCGCTCCTTTGGTGCCCCTTGCGCCAATTGCCTCCTCGCCGCCCATAACGATTGTTCATACGTCAACCCCGTCCTCTTCATGGCTGCCCTCCGCGACTGGCGTACTGAAGAGATTACCGAGGTTTGTGGGGAATTGTCGCATCAGATCAGCGACCCAACCCAATTAGGTGCGTCTTCTCCTTCGTTCTGCCCCAAGCTAACTTTGTTCCCTTAGCCATTTGCTTCAATCACGCGATTGAGCAGGTCGACCGGGCCGTCCAAGGGACCATGGGAATGTTCGAGGTGCGTGCTCATTTTTCCTTATCCCTTGCTCTAACTTCACCCAGATTGCAACTCAAGCTTTCCACAACCTTGCCCTAGACGGCTACAGCGACCTGGCCCAGTTGCCAAACCGCTCGTCCCATCTCGAGCGCGTCCTCACGCTCGTCCTTCATAACCGTACTGTTGACTAGAAATTGTGTATGTAATCTTGCTGACTTGATCGGCAATTAATATACGCGTTCTGCCGGCTGGTCCGCTTCTATCACTTCTGTATGAGTCCGCTGCCTCGTTGCGAGCTTGTATTTTAAGCTCTAATTGAGTCCATCTTCCCTTGTTTTTCTGTGTTTCAGATGCCCGCCTCACGCAGCTTCTCCGAAGTCCGCCTGCGCGCCAACCACTCGATTATCCCAGACAGTATCTCTGGAGATACGTCCTCCTCCGACGGTGCTCGCACCTTCATTACTGCGGCAGCATCCGTGGCGTGGAAGCCTTCGACAATTTCTGATCACCTGGGCGTCTCTATTGATTCCAAAGGCCGGGCCACGTTCTCCCAGGTCAGCCCTCAACCCTACCCGGTGATGGCCGCCGATGTGACCCGAGCTGTCACACACCGCCAACAGGTGCGCCTACGCGTTTCTCACTGTTTTTGACGCGTCAAACCCTCCTCTAGGGTCTCATCAACTGTGCTAATTGCATCGAGCGGGAGCTCCCTTGCTCGTTCCGCTTCATGGGCGTCATCTGTGGCCCTTGCGCTGCTGCTGGTGATGACTCATGTTGCTTCACCGATCCCATCACCCTCGTGGCCTCGCTTAATAGCTTCCGCAACGCGGAACTGGATGATATCCGCTTCGATTTGGCAAGCCGTCTTGCCGATGGTAGCGTGGACCCTGAAGACGTTGGTGCGTTCAGTCCCCTTCCTCTGCTTACTTGCTCATTCTTCCTAGACTCGTATTACGAGCATGCTTCTCGTCGTGTTAACCGCGTGGTCCAAGGGGCCATCGAGCGCTTCCAAGTGCGCGTTTTCTATTACGTTTTTCTGTCACTGACCCGCCATAGGTCACATCAAGCGCCACAGAAGGCCTCGTGGCCTCCGGGTATCAGGCCTTCATCGACTCGTGCCACAAGCCCTCCTTCCTCGGGCAGTTCATTCATCTTTCTGAGGAATCTGGAGTCCTCCATCCTTCCATTCGAATGGCTGCCGCGCAGCGCGTATTGACCCTAGCCCGCTCTCAATTGGAATAGCCAGTAGTTATTTTTGAATATATCATCTTCTTTGGTGATGGTTGCCATGCGCTATTTTTACCAGTTCTAGACCCGCGGCATCTAGCCCTTGACGCGTCACCCTGCCGTGCCGCGACGTGTCGTGCCGAACGCGTCAGCCAGACGCGTCACCTTCATAGCCCTACACTGCCCATGCCAGGCGGTGCCGTCGTATAGTGACTGTAGTATTTTCTTGACTATAAAATCGAGATCTGTAGATCCCAGATCTTCAGCCCGGTGCCCATTCATTTCCTCAATTCAACAACTCCTCTATTCAATGTCTTCAGCTTCTATTATCCGCCTCTCGTCGGCAGAGCTTGAGTCTGTACTCCAGATTCTTCTCGACGTCCGGAAGCACATGCCTCAGGACCCTGTTGATCGGGACGCGTTCCTCGTGGAGCGAGCCAACACAGTGGTAATTAGCTGGCTTTTCTTCTTTTGGTAATCTTCTCCTGATTTGTCCAGCTGAAACTCAAGGACGCCATTTCCTCATTCGTGGAGAATTCATCTGCTGCCGAGTGCGTGTTTGCGCTCCGGACCGCCATGGCGCGTCACGGTTTTCGTATTGGAGGCCCGTTTGGGCGCATTTTATCAGACATCGTGGTCTTTTGTTCCGACATCTCCCGCCTTCGCCGTGCCGCTCGCAGCATCAAACGCGCCACCAGAGTCTCTTCTGATGCCGCCGACTC